TGTTTCAGACGTCTCGAAATTTTCTCCTGACATTTTTTTATCGTGATTGAATAAACTGAAGCTATGTAATATCAGTTAAAATGAAGTTTGTTGCAAATATATGATACACTGTTTAACAGTGAACTTTATTCTTAAAATTAATAAAATTGCAGAAATTAGCAGATGAGATAGGTTCGTAAATTTTTCTCTATAGCACTGATGAACTGGTGCGCACTTGTGTAGCTACGCGCAGCTAGAAATAGGTTAGTGAACATCATGAAGTAAGAGAGAAGGAGGTCGAATTCCATAAAACAAAAGTAGTCATGATTCGTGTTCTCTAATTGAGAGAGAATCCGCTAAGAGGAATAACTTCTTATAGTTGGGCACCATTTGTAAACAATAAGTTATTAAGAGACAAAATACATTTGTCTCTCTCTTACTGCACTAGATCAGTCGTGCAGCTAAAGCTGCATTGTATAATTTTTTGGTTTAATATTCTTCAAAGGGCACAGTTATATGTTTTTTATGTAATAATGAGAGTTTCAATTTGTGTATGAAATATTACCAAAATATGTTTATTAAATATATTTATTAAATATAATATTTATTAATATAATATTTATTAATATTAAATGTTTATTTAATTAAATGTATTTTATGCTAACCTATCCCAAGCTGCTAGCGTACCTGTCCTGTTACCGGTATGCATTCATGCTACTTGTCTGAATGTCGATATTTTTATTATTACAGACGGAACTATACGGTTTATAGCGTAGTCGATAGTATCAAAATGTAAAGGAAAGTTGTCTTTATCATTGTTACGTAGCCAATTGGAACAATTAAATGTTTCAAACTATTTTATTATTGAAATTCCAAAAAAGCTTAGCAAACCTGCCTCGGACTTGCCTACACACACACACACACACACACGCGCGCGCGCGCGCGCGTCAAGTGTTACGATCACATTTGGTTGTTTAAATGACTTTAAGCGTGTATAACTATGGTACGGCTCTGATACATGTTCAACATAGAGTTTCTGTTTATAATTACGGCATCTTGAACAAACTGTCCCTAGTTCGCATGATTCGAATAATGGCGAATTTATAAATACCATATATAATTCTATTATATTAGGAAAGACATATAGGAAAATATGCCATATTTTTAAATACGTTATGTCTATTGTATTTGCATCTATAATATGGACGATAAATTTATGAGCATTATATGGAAGAAATAATAATTTTAATTCTTGTAACGCATAGTGCAATGTCAGAGTTAAGAAATCCGATCATATATAATGTTCTAATGACCACAAAGTTTGGGTAAGAAAGTAAAGTTCTTTTTGATTATTATCTAGATTTTGCATGACTAAATATCTGTTAGTAAATGAATTGATGTTATGGTAAAGTTTAGCATCTGGAAATTTGGTAAACTTTAATTTACCTAGGCATAAATGCAAAATATTGTCTTTTATACAGGCGATATTAATGTTTAGTAATAGTAACAGCCCTTTACAGATATTCCTCTAGATTAAATAGCATTTGGTGATCATCACAAAAATTAGCTGAATGACAAATGACGCATAGCTTTATGTTTGTCTGTCGGTGACACTTATAACACGACTTTGCACATACTATCATATCCATTTCGCGCAGCTGCAGTGGCAGATTTATATTTGTTACATTTTTCATCAATACTTTTGTTACAATTTCCATCCGTAATTTTGTCCAGTTTTCCCAATTGAGACATGTGTCCAAATCCGATTTGTCTGGTATTACATTTGCTAGAATTCTGCTAGAATATGCATCCTCATGTGTGAATATTTATGTAACACCTGGTGCTTCTTGGAACAGTAAGAAATCATATAGCACCAAGTACACATTCTTAAGTCTGTGCTGGGCAGTTTGCAAATATGACAAATGTTTGGATTGAAAAACCGATTATATTTGTCTGCTGTATATGGTCCATCAAAAGTTATTATTTTTCCTATATTCATCGCGATATGTCTTAGTAATTAACGTTCATGAGTATTTTATTTGTAATATTTACTTTGATATATAGCGAAGCTCGACAACTGACCGAATATAACTGAAATATGTATGCTGGTTATATATAGATATTTTACCGGTGATAATACAAGGGACAATAATAACGGGTACAAGAATGTTTGTATGTAACAAAAACGTTGTTGTCAAGATAAATTTTAACTATTAATAAAACAAACCAGAAGTATTTGTTAATGGAGAAAAACAACATGGCAAATATAATGTATATAAAATGAAATTGCTTCAATTCAATTCGGAAAACAGTAAAATAGCTATCACTCGTATATCACGCATACGTTTTGGAAATAATATTATAAATGTTATTAAAACACATGTTATATTAAAAACTTTGCTATTCTTTCGCAGAAGTCTCTTTGTTTGAAGAACAATGGAATAATGATTCTCTGATAAATATATGGAGATAAATATGCGACAATCAAAATTTATGTAAAAATTTTTATATAATTAAATAATAACTATAGAAAAAGATATATATTAAGACTTGAGGCGGCTTTACAGTTGTTAACACATTTACATTTTTTTCAAACATAAAGGAAATATCCAAACAGCGCAAATGTCTAAACACATCTTGGAGACGTCTGCAGCAAACAGAATATCGTATACGTCTCTGAGATATCTTTTAGACATTTATGATATATAGATAGAATTAACAACGTTAGCCGCAACTAGCTTACCACATACTCGTCATGATGCATATGATATTCCGCAGGAAATTGGAAAGTTATAACAGCATTGATACTATAATAATCGAGTTATTGCACATACAATTTTTTATACGTTAAAAAATAAAGCAAGGAAATATATTCTATGCAATTATTATACTACTACATGAATACATGATTTAATAAGGTATGAACTCGTTTTCTTCGATACATTTTAGGACATAGCCGATAGTCAGTACAATGAAATAACTTTTTTCTACATCATAAACAATAGTGTTACTAAACTTAAAATCATACACTGCGAATCAGTTTTATCGGGTCGTTAATTTAATTTCAATTTAAAAGTACATAATAAAATGTGCATTTTAATTAAAGTTCCCATTAGTCGTATAATCTCTGTATTGCCTATACATACACACACGCACCATATCTATAAAATTGTGGAATTTATTTTCTTCAAACTTCAAGATTATAATTGCTTCATTATTCTTTCATTGATCGCCGAACAATGAATGAATAATGAAGCAATTATAACCTTGAAGTTTGAAGAAAATAAATAAAATAAATAAAGATCACAGTTTTGCGATCTCCCGCCTCAGACATTGCGTACTTTCGTTCTCTTCCGCGTTTTCCTACACGGGATTCCTCCTAACAGCGTCGACTTCCAGAACTGTAAGGCTCTCTTGATCATCGAGGCGCGTTCTAGTCGTTAATACAAAAATATTTCTTAGATGTTGGCCAATTCTGACCGCAGACCGTCTTCGACCGTCTAGAAATCAATTGGGTAAAATTGCAATTTAGGAGAGTCAGCTCCAATTACATCTTGATTTTGACATATGTTATTGAGAACACTTTTCTGAATAATCTTGAGAAGGTTCTTAGCCGTCGCTCGTTGTTTGTTAAAAAGTTATTAACAAAAGGATTTGCATAAAATGAATGTAATTTTTGGACATTGTTTACACAAAAACATGGAGTTTGTAGGCTAAGTTATTGCCTGTCCCTAGCCGCATGACTGGGGGGCTGCGTAATCCAGACTCTCCACACCGCAGTCTTTTGTGTGAGAAGTTTTCATACAGTTTAGAAAATACATCTTTTTCATAAAATGTCTACTAAATACATTTCATATATACAATGGGAAGAAATTACACAAATTAATTTGCGAAACTACTTTTGTATATACTGCGTATCACGTATTTACTTATTGGTTACACGAAGTCGGAATACTATATTCTGCTTAGTAAAATTCTTCTGTTACTAACTTTTTAATAAACAACGAGCGACGGCTAAGTCCTCTTGTTTGTTACTCAGGAGGATGATCTTTATATGGTATATAACCTTTATTATATATTCAAGATATATATTATATATTATATATTATTATATATTATTATATATTATATTAATATATTCAAAATCAAAAATATTGAAACTGATATATTATATATTATTATATATTATTATATATTATATATTCAAAATCAAAAATATTAAAACTGATTTCCCTAAAGTGCAATTTTAACAAAGCTAGATATTAAAAAAATTACATGTACAATAAATGTCATCGCAATTACGATTTATTAATAACTTCTTGCTTACTGGATTTAAAGAAACGTATTTTCTAACTTTAGCAGTCAACTAAGCCCTACTTAGAAAAATTAATGTTACTACGTTTTTGTCACTCAAAAATCTGAAGGAAATAGGATAGATGTTCAAAATCGCTCTGGTCATGTCAGTAGTGTTAACGTAATACATTGTTAGAGTGATACGGACACGATGAAATTAATGATTTCATTATAACAGTTAAAGCGATTTCAGCGGTGCGAATAATGATCAAAAGCGAAACTTTCCGGACGACGTGGTCCTCTCGTTCCTCTCTTTATCTCGCGAGATTTGAGTTCTTGCTTTCTGTCGCGCTAGCTCTCTCGCCGGTAACCACAAGAAAGAATCTCTTTTAATAACTCCTTATTCAACCAAAAAAGATCTTTATCCGAAATTTGCCAATATCTGACAGGTTTTTGAAAATTCGGAAATCGTTCCTTTGTTCCGACACCTCGAATTGTCATTATTATTTAGGTATTTCGCCTCTAGCTTCTCTGTTCTCTCCTGACCTTGACTTCAAATTTTGAACTTCGAGTTGCGATATCTCCAAGATTTGTCTCCGATAATCTGTGCACAACTGTAAACATACACTTGGCTGTGGTATCTTTGTTTGGAGTTAGGCGATAGCTTTGCTCATGCTAAATTATTATGTTGAGGCCATCACCTGGAATGTATCTCGCGGTAGGTGGTAGCTCCGAAGCTCCGTTGCTTCTTCGTGTATCCCTCGCTGTTCCGTCCTTCCTCTCCTATTGGTCGTCGAGAGGAGTTCCGGGATATATTACTCGGAATGCGAAAGCGCTACTTATTGTCCCGCATACGGAAGGCACGCGGGTTTCCTAAATTTTCTTAAATTTTCGCAAAACCTCTCGTTTCATAAAATTTTGCGCACATATGGTGGACGACTTCGCAAGCTTTGTCTCTCTCAGAGGCTTTTTCGCTTCTTTATGACGATTATTCTGACGGCAACCACATTACTCATACAGAAAACGCGAACGGCATATGCATCGAAGTAAGTAATAGATTAAAGGGTGGCCGATTTCTTCATCGAGCGCGGAATTATTTTCATTACATATTTGTTAGGTTTAGCGAGAGAGATTCTTGGAACTCCAAGAAGCGATACGAGTTTTAGAATAGAATTGTTCCCGGAATTCCGAAATTGTATTTTCTAAAGTACAATTAATGTACTTTTCTTTGAAATAATATTTTCGCGACTAATGGTTTTCGAATAAAAACTAGGGCGGGCTTTAAAACTTGTTTCACTTATTCAAATATACTTCACAGTTTGTCCAAAAGTTTATTCATTTTACGTACATAAATATTAAGATGATGTTATCGTAAAATGAATGCTTTATGAGATAGTTCACATTTTGTAATGAAGGGTCAATTATATGATACCACATATGTGATCATATAATCACAATATAACACAAAATATCTCGGAAAGTTTATTTTCAGGACAAGCGTTTTCGTTCCAATTCCTGATATAAACGTATTGATTAGCGTTTGTAGTAATTCGCATTTTTAATAATAGCATTTTGAATAATTAACTGTACCCTTGATATTCCACCAAATACTGAGCAGAATCTTCTTTCGTTTACGATTTGCGACCTGATCAGATGCTTGATAATCAGAATATACGCACAGACTTTATGCGTTTAAGATTGTGGAGTATCAGTTTTTCATTACCTTCAATGACTTCCCATAAAATGTCTTTCTACGTTGCTTACTCATTGTTTATTAAGAAGAAAAGAGTTGTGACGCGTAGATTTTTATGGCATCAATGAATTGTCGCGGAACACACTTTTTTCATCTTTCTTATTTGAAAACCTTTTCACTTTTTGCATCTTTCCTATTTAGAAATAGTTTGCTGCGTTACTTCCAACTGTTCTGCTGTTCTTCTTAAATTAACTAAAATAAAACGTTACTTTAACATTTGAGAAAAGTATTAATCTACGGTTTTGATGAAATGAAAATGTTAAATTGACATAATCTATGTCAAACATATTAAATATGTCAATTTAACACAATCTGTAATTCCTAACAGTATTCAAGTATTAAATTCTTGTGTTAATTTTTTCCATATTATGCATGTTACTTTTTAACACATTTGTTTTGTGTTAAATTTACACATAAATGAAACTGGATGATTTAGGACACATGAAATGTGTTAAATTTAACATATTAGTTTTTACAGTGTACGAATATTGTAAAATATTATAGGACATTTATGTTCACCTCAGTCTGTTTTATATTTCCACGAACATTGCGAAGATGAATCTAGAACACCCTGTATGATGTATAAACGTGTGATGTTGCCCGAGCAAAAATTGAATCTAATGATTGTCTAGCAATGACACAGAAAAGTTGGGTCTTACATCGCTACTAGCTAGGAATGTAACGCTCACTTCTCCTAATGACTGTACCAGAAAAATTATCTAGTAGTTAGATACAAAAAAATAACTTGTAACTATAATTGGTACAGTTACTAAACAGTTCTGATATCCAATTTCTATTTAGGATTTACCGATAATTTTGTATCAGATTTATTGTGTAATCTTTTTCACCTAGCCACTATCTATGTAATTGTTATACTTATTAGATAGTCCTGACATTCAAAACACTGAGTAGGAATATTTAGCCAATCACTATCTCGTGACTGGCTAGAAAACTTATCTAGTCATTACTATCTAGCTACTAGTCTTGAAATCTTCTCTACTAGATACATTTTTGCTCGGGTGCAAATTTTGGGTGCACGCACATATACACGCACACACACACACTATAAACAAAATTATTATTTGACTCAAGAAAAAAATTGTTTCATTCAATTTTTATTTTGTTAAAAGGTTCAGTAATCCTTTTCAAATAATCTTAGTAAACTTGACATTTCATTTCTCATATTATTGATGATCTACTTTTGTTAGTAAAGGTTATCGTGTGTGTCCTTCTTATTCCGTGATATTCTATACAAATACTCCATCACTCAGTAACTATATATTTTTTTTTTATTGACTACAGTCTCGGTAATTTAACTTCAAAGATCATACGCAAATTTGTGATGCCAATTAGCTCTGATTAGTGTGCAAATGCACTGAGAACAAATACTTGAAAATAAATTTGTGGGATAAAAAATTTATTTCTGCCAAGTAAATTTTATTTTTATACATTTATCTTTCACAATATACTTTATCTCACGTAAATAAATATTAAATATATTTTTTTTTCAGTGTGACTAGTTGCAGCATTATACTTATGACGCATCTTTATAATGTATCCAGAAAGCGATTTTATGCCATACCTAATGCTATTCGTGGCAAATAACGCAACAATAGGCGATATATAACGGATATTATTATCGATTTATATATACATTTTGTTTCAACATAGTATGAACTATTTTCCTCTGATACATTTTAGAACATAGTCGATAGTCTACACAATAAAAGAACTTCTTTTAAAGTGATTGCGTACAATTAAGTGTTATCATTTATTAGATCATTAGCTGTATCTAGGAATGCATCAGAAAAGTGACTAAAGCGTATTGAAACAAAGTGTACTCATGCCACACTTTTACAAAAGCAGGAGAGAGAGAAACATAATATAAATTTACCAATGAATGTATAATATTAAAAAATCCATTTTTTATTAGCGACTATGTTTACACTTGTATTTAATTTACAATAACCGGTGGGAACTCGTAAGACATTAATAGTTTCACATACTTTTATACTTCTGGATAAATTTTGATCATTTAAATTGTAAAAGTCGATGTAACGAACTACAGATATTGTTTATGAGTTACAATATGAAGAACATAAGAATATGATTTTTATAAAATATATTGCAATTATTTCTGTCACCTATCACCTGCAGAACACGGCCGATGAATAAAGGACTTACAAGAGAATTACATATAGTTAAATTCAAAACTGAGGAATATATTATCTATAACTACGGAATAGAGTATGCGAATAGTACACGTATTGTAAAAATTTTAATACTATGTGCAATCATTTTATTACATCGCATATATATGTTTCAAATATTTCAAAAAAGTAAGAAATAAAATGCAAACAAATAAATAAAAACAAAATAAATTTAGGACTGAATATATACTTCAATACAAACTTCAATATCCTTGAATATCGTTAAAAACTGACACGGACATCTACAATACTATATTATACTAAAATGAAAACAATTAAAAAAACAATTCCTGACCTTCAGCCTTTAATTGTGTCGGATATATGATTTAAATTCATGAATATATAATAAAATGCGCATGTCGATAATAGATATCCTCAAATATATAGAATTTGTTTGGTTTCAAGCTGTGAAATTTATTTTTTCCTTTCAAATGATTTCTTGTTGTACCTGTTATTTCTTGTATCTTATTTATATTGTCATGCATTATAATTTCATGATTAACGGTTAAAAGTAATGGACATTTTTGTGCTATTATTGTTGTCATAGATTCAAACCAACTTTTTTGTTTTTTATATAAATTTTCATTGTCAAATATTACAATCACGTTTGGTTGTTTATATGATTTTAAGCGTGTATATTTGTGGTACAGCTCTGATACATTTTCAATATAAAGTTTCTGATTATATTTACTGCACCTTGCACAAACAGTCCCTAGTTCGTACGATTCGAATTTTTTTGATTCTACGCATACAATATATAATTCTTTTATATTAGAAAATATATGTAAGAAAATATGCCAAACCTTTAAATACTCTAAATCTGTTTCATTTGTATTTATAACATGAATAATGTATTTACCTGCAGTGCGTGGAAGAAATAATAAATTTGATTCCTGTAGCGCGTAGTGTAATGTTAGAGGATCGGATACATAATCCGAACATATATAATGTTCAAATGACCAGAAAGTTTGGATAGGGAAGTAAAGTTTTTTTTGATTATTATCTAGACTTTCCATGACTAAATATCTGTTAATAAATGTAATCATGTTATGATAAGGTCTAGCATCTGGAAATTTGATAAATTCCAATTTGCTTAGACACAAAGTATTGCCTTTCATATAGACGATATTAAGGTTCAATAATAGTAACAGCTCTTTACATTTATCCTTGTGTTCTATATTAAATAACATTTGGTGATCATCACAAAAATTAGCCGAATAGCAAATGACGCATGGTTTTATGTTTATCTGTCGGTAACACTTAAAACACGATTTTGCCAATGTTATCATTTCCAGTTCGTGCTGAGGCAGTAGCCGATTTATTTTTATAATAATTTCCTTCCGTGATATTAGCCACTGTGATAAATTTAAATATGCGTTCCAATTCGATTTGTCTGATATTATTCTTGCTAGAGATTTGCAGATATACAAGTGCCAATATTTATGTAACGTCTGGTGCTCATGGCAACAGTAAGAAATCATAGAACACTTAATACACGTTATTAAGTTTCTGCTGGGCAGTTTGCAAATATGACAAATGTTTGGATTGAAAAACTGGTTATATTTGTCTGGTGAGTATGGTCCATTAAAAGTTACTATTTTATCTGTAGTCATCGTGATATATTTTAGTAATTAATGTTCATCAGTATTTTATTTGTAATATTTATTTCGATATAATTCTCGAAGCTCGGCAACTCACCGAATATAACAGAAATATGTATGCGTGTTATATATAGATGTTTAGCGGATAATAATACAAGGAACACTAATAACGGATACAAGAATGTTTGTTTATAATGAAAAAGTTGTTGACAAAATAAATTGTAATTGCGAATGTTACCATCTAGAAATATTCGTTAGCGAAGAGGAACAATATGGCATATATAATTGATATAATGAAATTGTTCAAATATCATTAAAAAAACAATGAAATAGCTATTTCTCGTATAACGCGCATTTGTTTTGGAAATAATATTATAAATGTTATTAAAAAACATACTACATTAATTAATAAAAATTTGCTATTTATTCGCAGAAGTATATTTGTTTGAAAAACAAAAGAATAATGATTCTCTGATGAATATATGGAGATAAATACGCGACTATCAATATTTATGTAAACATTTTCACATAATTAAATAATAACAATGAGAAAAGATATATATTAACATATATATAATTTTTCAACCATAAAAGAAAATATCGAAATAGCGCAAATGTCTAAATACATCTTAGAGACATTATAAAGAATCTGCAACAAATAGAGTATCGTTCAGACGTCTCTAAGATATCTTTCAGACACTTAGGATATATTTAGAAAAAATGAACAATGTTAGTCGCAACTAGGGTTGGGAAGTAACGAGTTATTTGTAACGCCGTTACTGTTCCACTTACTTTTTTTCGGTAACTATAACGGTAACGGCGTTACATTTTCTGATCGGTAACTATAACGGTAACGATTAATTTGTTACTCTAATAGTTATTTTTTTGTTTTAAATCTATTAAATTCGGTCTATACATAAGCCAGTAGCAATAAGCAAAATGACCAATCATAGTTCATTCTCAATCTGGCAGATTGCAATCATGACTGTGATTGGTCACTTTCCTTATGTCTTAAGCCCATGCCTTGGGCCTTGTACATTGGACGTGATTAGCGACGTGACGAGCGATGAGCGATATCCAATAAGAACTCTTATTTCTTCTTAAAACAGAGTTTTGATTGGATATCGCTCATCGCTCGTTGCTAATCGCTAATGGTCTCACGGACCAGTTGCGATGCACGACGCGAGACGCGATATGCGACGAGCGATATCTAATCAGATATATCTCAGATATACAGGGTATTCCGTCATTATCTCTTAAGTTACCGCTTTATCTCTTAAGGGCGGATTCCTGAAGTAATTTAAATAAAAAGATCGTAATACAAAAATGGCGAGGCTATAATTCTTTTCAAATTATAAACGATTAAACTTGACCAATTATACTGGCTAAAGTACGCGTGCTCAGGTATGGTACAACACAAGGTGGTACAGGTGCATGCACATGTCGTCTCCTTTCCAAATATTGATACTGAAGTTCTATACAATATATGTAATAATAATTTGCCTTTTCTATCATTTAAGTAAATATATCGCAAATAATAACAATCTCGTCAAAATGTTACGAATAAAACATCACACAATACATTTATGAGAATTAGTAAGCTGTCACACATTTGACGTTTCATTTAGGGATTTGCAACTAATTTCATATCTTATGCAAATTCTCACTTATGCATGCACCTGTACCATTGTGTGTTGTACCATACCTGAGCGCGCGTACTTTAGCCAATATAATTGGTCAACTTTAATCGTTTATAATTTGAAAAATATTATAGTACGACATTTTTGCATTAAGATTTTTTTCTTCAAATTACATTAGAAATCCAATCCTATGACGCATCTTTATAATGTGTCCAGAAAGCTATTTTATGCTAATCGGCAAGTAATTCAACAATAGGCCATTTATAACGGATATAATTATAAATTAAAATATACACTTTGTTTCAACACAGTATAAACTATTTTTCTTTGATACATTTTAGAATATAACTGATAGTCTACACAATAAAAGAACTTTTTTTGAAGTAATTATATAAAATTAAGTATTATCATTTATTGGATCATTCGCTGTACCTAGGAATGCATCGAAAAAGTGATTAAAACGTATTGAAACAAGGTGTACTCATGCCACACTTTTACAAAAGCAGGAGAGAGAGAAACATAATATAAATTTACCAATGAATGTATACTATTAAAAAATCCATCTTTTATTAGCGACTATGTTTACACTTGTATTTAATTTACAATAACCGGTGGGAACTAGTAAGATACTAATAGTTTCACATACTTTTATATCTCTTGATAAATTTTGATCTTTTAAATTGTAAAAATCGATGTAACGAACTACAGATATTGTTTACGAGTTACAATATGAAGAACATAAGAATATAATCTATATAAAATATATCGCAATTATTTCTATTACCTATTTTACTAGCAGAATACAGACGATGAATAAAGGAGACTTATAATACAATTACACATAAGTGAATACATAATTGTGGAATATAATATCTATAACTACGAAATAGTATGCGAATAGTACACAAATTGTAACATTTTAAAATATTATATGCAATCATTTTATTGCCTCACATATATATGTTTCACATATTTCAAAAAGGTAAGAAACATAATATAAATTTTCGACTGAATATATACCTCAGTACGAAATTTATTATTTATTCCCGAATATAATTAAGAATTGACTAGAGCATCTAGAATACTATACTATACTAAAATAAAAACAACGATCAAACAATTCTTGATCTTCAGCTTTTGATTGGATCGGATATATAATTTAAATTCATGTATATATAATAAAATATGCATGTCGAAAATAGAACTCCTCAGGTATATAGCATCTGTTTGGCCTCAAGCTGCGAAATTTATTTCTTCCACAAAAATAATTTCTGGTTGTACCTGTTACTACTTGTATCTTATTGATATCTTCATGCATTCTAGTTTCGTCATTAACGGTTACAAGTAACGGACACATTTGTGCTATTATTGTTCTTATAGATTCAAACCATGTTCGAATTGAATACATATCTGTGTCAAATATTATGATCACGTTTGGTTGTATATATGACTTTAAGTGCCTATAAATGGGGTACGGCTCTGATACATGTACAACATAAAGTTTCTGATTATAATTACAGCATCTTGAACAAACAGTCCCTAGTTCGCACGATTCGAATTTTGGCGATTTTATAAATACAATATATAGTTCTTTTATATTAGAAAAGAGATGTAGAAAAATATGCCAAACCATTAAGCAGCTTACATCTGTTTCATTTGCATCTATGACATGAACAATGTATTTACCTACATTGCATGGAAGAGATAATAAGTTTGATGCCTGTAACGCGTAGTGTAATGTCAAAGGACTGGTTACATAATCCGAACATATGTAATCTTCTAATGACCAAAAAGATCGGCGAGACAAGCCTTTTTCTATTTCAATATCATCCAGATCTGGCCTGACTAAATATCTGTTAATAAATGAAATCATGTTATAATAAGGTCTAGCATCAGGAAATGTGGTGAACGTGAGTTTGCTTAGACATAATTGTAAAACATTGGTTTTTATACAGGCGATATTAATGTTCAATGATATTAACAGCTGTTCACATTTATTTTTGTGTTCTAGATTAAATAGCATTTGGTGATCACCACAAAAATTAGCTGAATAGCAAATGACGCATGGCTTTAGGTTTATCTGTCGGTGACACTGATAACACGATATTGCACATAATATCATATCTTTTTGGTACACATGCAATGATAGATTTAGTTTGTTTATAATTTCGATCCGATCGACTGCCCATGTTTTCGAATCGAAACATATGTTCCAATCCAATTTGCTTGTTATTTCCCTTGCGAAAGTTCTGCAGATAGACATATGCGAATTTTTATCTAACGTCTGGTGCTCCTGGCGACAGTAGGAAATCATATAGCACTTAATACACGTTATTAAGTTTCTGCTGGGCAGTTTGCAAACATGACAAATGTTTGGATTGAAAAACCGATTATAATACTTTTCTGTGTATGGTCCATCAAAAGTTATTATTTTGCCAACATTCATCGCGATATGTCTTAGTAATTAACGTTTATGAGTATTTTATTTGAAATATTTACTTCGATATAATGCGCGAAGCTCGGCAACTCACTGAATATAACAGAAATATGTATGCGTGTTATATATAGATGTTTAGCGGATAATAATACAAGGGACACTAATAACGGATACAAGAATGTTTGTTTATAATGAAAAAGTTATTGAGAAGATAAATTGTAATTGCGAATGTTACCATCTAGAAATATTCGTTAGCGAAGAGGAATAATATGGCATATATAATAGATACAATGAAATTGCTCCAATTTCATTAAAAAAACAATTAAATAACTATCTCTCGTATAACGCACATACGTTTTGGAAATAATATTATAAGTGTTATTAAAAAACATATTACATTATTTAATAAAAATTTGTTATTCATTCGCAGAATTATATTTGTTTGAAAAACAAAAGAATAATGATTCTCTGATGAATATATGGAGATAAATATGCGACTATCAATATTTATGTAAACATTTTCACATAATTAAATAATAACTATGAAAAAATATATATATTAAGACTTGAGGCGGCTTTACATTTGTTAACACATATACATTTTTTTAATCATAAAAAAAAATATCGAAATAGCGCAAATGTCTAAAATACATCTTAGAGACATTATAAAGACATCTGCAACAAATAGAGTATCGTTCAGACGTCTCTAAGATATCTTTCATTTAGGATATATTTAGATAAAATTAACAACGTTAGCCGCTACCAGGGTTAGGAAGTAACGAGTTACTTGTAACGTCGTTACCGTTACACTTACTTTTTTTTAGTAACTATAACGGTAACGGCGTTACGTTTTTTGATCGGTAACTGTAACGGTAACGGTAACGTAGTTACATTTATCCGGTAACGATAACGATTAATTTGTTATTAATAATTATTTTAATTATTCTAATAGTTATTTTTTTGTTTTAAATCTATTAAATTCGGTCTATAAGCCAGTAGCAATAAGCAAAATGACCAATCATAATTTATCCTCAATCTGGCAGA